TCTACTTATGGATATTTGGCCTGAATTTGATGACTGGCTGAAAACTAAAAGTGTTTATCAGAGAGGGTATCAAGGTAGAGGTTAAGACGGAAATAATTCTAACAAGATCCTGAAAAACCTGGATGAACTTGATAAAGTAGTAGCACACCAGGTTCCTCAACTGAGACCTATAATTCAGTGTTTGAAAGACTTTAAAATAGTGAAAGATTCCTGTTTTGGTCAAATTCTTTTGACAGAGTATAAAATGGCATTTACTGTGTTTAAAAATTCTTTCCTTTCTACTCAAGAGCTTGCACAGGCTCTAGGGAAAAAATGTTCTTTAAGCTGGAAGTTTCACATCTTGCTGTGTCATGTTCAACCCTTTGTCGAACACCATAACTGTGGTCTAGCTAAGTTTGCTGAACAGTGTGGAGAGGCTATTCATTCTAAATTAAAAAAATAAAAACAGCTGTTATCCTCTGTAATAAATTTCAATGAAAGAAGACTTTAATTTATCTTTAACTTTGACATGTTGCTTTCTAAAGTGCAGGAAAATGAATTAATGTATATTTGGATTGTGTAAAAAATATAAATTAATATTGTAAATATTATTTTTTTTTTTTTTGTTTTACTTTTTTAAATTGCTAAAAGTCTTTATTTGTAACAGGTATCTAAAATGTTTAAATGGACTTGTGGCCCCATCAATTTAACCTTTTTGCTTTATTTGTGAGTCTTAGTTCTTTGTTTTGATTGTAAAATACTTGTGTCAATTTGTATAAGACAAATATCATAAATTAACAAATTTTTCTTACAATGGGCGTCTAAAATACTTTAATGGTGGTAGGGCCCCTCAATTTTATTTTTTTGTGTCCTTTGTGATCCTTAGGACTTTGTTCCAACTTTTATAGTTTAAAAATTTTATATTCTATTTTTATAAGACACATATTCTTAATTAATTTATAAATTTTTTGTAATGGGCGTCTAAAGTGGTCAAATGGGCATCAAGCCCCTCAATTTACTTTTTTGCCTTATTTGTGACCCTTAGCACTTTTTTCGGATTTTAAAAACGCTAGATTCTATTTTTATAAAGCAAATACTCTTAAATAAAAAAAGTTTTGTTCAAGTGACACGACATAAAACCTGGCGGTCTCTTTGGCCAACCGTGATATATATATAATATATATACATATATATACATATATATATATATATATTATATATATATATATATATATATTATATATATATATATATATATATATATATATATATATATATATATATATATATATATATATATACACACATATATATATATATATATATATATATATATATATATATATATATATATATATATATATATATATATATATATTAGAGATGTGCCGGAACCAGTTTATGCCAAGTCTCCGATTCCGGGTACCCGGCTGAAAAAACCGTGTCCGAGTCCGGGTACTCGGCAGAGAATCCATTTTTTAAAAGTTGGAATAAAAACTTGTGAAATTTCTAGCGCTGAACTATTCACACAAAATACCCTTTTTATGCTAATTAACCAAAAGTTATGTAGCGGAAGTACCATTTAGCAAAACTATGCAATGCAGGGTAAGGGGCCTGAGTTGTAGGGCCTAACTTTTTTCAAAAGTTGTGCAACAGTTTTTTAACAATTATTTTTCTTTCCTGGTGGAGCGGGCCTAAATAATATTTTGTGGAGAAAGGGGCAAAATTTAAAGTTCCACCATTGAAAGTTATATTATGAAAAGCAAAAGATTAAGAAATATAAAGAATTGCAAAAAAAGGTAGACCTTCTCCACTGTAGAGTGATTAAAATAAAACAAATTTAAACAAATAAAAAGAACTTGAACAACACTTATTTACTGTATCTTATTTTAATTGTTTTATTAACTTTAGATTGTAATGCACAAACATTAGGTATTCTCCGTTATCTGCTTTTAGTCTGCTCCTTGTTGCTTTGTATATGTCCCCACCAGCACTAAATAACCTTTCACTTTTTATTGATGACGGAGTTGCTGTAAGATATTTTAATGCCATCTTTTTTAGTTTTTCAAATTTCATTCCACATTTACTCCACCACAAAAACGGACAACCTTTATTTTCTAAAAGAGGCAGAGATAAATAGTTGTCTATTTCTTGAGTAATTGCAGACCTTAATACTGTTTGCTTCTTAATTATGTCAGTGGTAACAACTTCAATATCTACTAATTCTCTTTCTGCCTCGGAACGTCTTTCACTCTTCTTTCTTCCGGTTCTCATAGAAGCTACATCTTTAAAACAATCATAAATGCTAATGAATCCATTAGATGCTGGAGCTTTTACTATTGGAGCATTGTTAGAGTCAGAGTCAACAACATTTTGCGCTCCTTGCATTTCTTTCCATGCTTCTTCAACCCACTCCTTAATAACATTTTCATCTGCATGTTGATAAAGTAATTTATATCGTGGATCCAAAAATGTTGATACACATAACATTTTATTAAGCAAAAATTTATCAAGTCTTTTAGTAACAGATTTTATTAGTTCATCAATCATCGTCATAATCCCAGCGTATATATCACTTGATGAAGCTTTTTGTAATAAAACTTTTAATGCAAAAACAGATGGTATAATTTGTGCGCAAGTTTCGTCCCTCCTACCACATTTTTTTGTTAAGTTTTCAAATAATGCAAGAATGTGAACAAGTTTTTCGACTATTCCCCATTGATAATTAATAGGAAGTTTAATTTCATCATATTCTGCTGCATAGGTGGAACTTTTCAAAGGAACTTTTTGTTCAAACGTTCTTTTTAGCATTTCAAATGAACTGTTCCAGCGAGTTGGAACATCTTGTTTCATTTTGTGAGGTACAGTACTTAACTGCTGCTGATAAAGCATGGAATTGATGACATTCCACTGTTTTTTACTGCAGCCTTTTTATTGCTTGCATTATCGGTAACAATAAGGTGAATTTTGCTTAACAGGATTTCAAAAGTTTCTAAACCTTTTTGTAAATACTCTTTTATATGAACACCTGTGTGCTTTTCCAGAAAATGAATTACTCGAAGAACAGCAGTTTCTTGGGAAAATTTAGTTTGATTTATCCAATGTCCAGTAATGCTTAAAAATGCGATTTTTGCAGTATCCGCTGTCCAAATATCTGTTGTCAGAGACAAATAGTTTGCCGCGGAGATTTTTATTTTTATATCTTTAAACAGTTCATCATACATGCTAGGGATTACGTTTTGGCTGAAATATGTTCTACATGGTAATTTGTAATTGGGGTAAGCATCTTTAATCAGTTCATTAAACCCTGAATCTTCAACAATAGAAAATGGCTGAATATCCAATGTGATAAGTTTTTCTATTATTTTATGGATTCGAATAGATCTGTGGTCATCAATATTCCACTGGTTTTTTTTGCGTAAAGCCTGAATAATGTTACTTTGTACTGTATTGGTGGTAGAAGCAACTGAGGCTTCAGAAATAGACGGCAATGATTGAAACTTCTTTTTTCTTCCGCAAGTTCAAACTCTTTGGAATGCTTTAAACACAAATGTTTTACCATTGCTGTAGTTCCATAAGACTTTCCTCCACTCATAACTAAACTATCACATAGTTTGCACTCATATGAGGAGTCGTGCTTATATCAAAGAACTTCCATGCTATACTTTTTTTGTTTTAATTTTTCTTTTAAATAAAATTTCTATAAAGATAATGAAACTAGTTTTGATATCAAAGTTTTCGTTTATTTTATATAAAACGATAATTTTTTTAATAATACGCTCGAAATTAAAATATGAAAAATGTGTATAATATTTACCTTATATCTCTACTTTTATGATTTTTGCTTGATACGAATGAAAAGTGCCATCAGCGTTCGAAAGCATTATAAGCGTTTTATTCAAAACTAAATTGCTAAAAATTATCTTGTGTTCTAACAGAATAAAAAAGAAGCTATTTAAAACTTTTTTTCCCATTCTTTTTATTCGTATTCTCAAATTATTTCATTTAGCGTTACAGTTTTTGTATCCGTATAAATTTTTTTGTAAAAATGTATTAAAAAATATTTTAAGTGAGATTGCTTTAAGTTAATAGACTTTGTGGTTATCGACTACATAACACTCTTAGACTTATATCAAGAAGTTTAATGGTTAAAGTTTAAACTAAAGGAAAAATCAATTTGAAGATACCCGGTGCCTAGTACTGCAACAAAATGGCCGATACCGGGTACCCGGTAAAACAGCTGAATCGCCGAGTCCCCAGGTCCGAACCGGGTACCCAGCAAATCACTAATATTTATATATGATGAATACAAATTTCATATATTTTATATAAATTTTTATAAATAACAATTTCTTTTTATTTAAGTATAATAAATGCAAATAATTTCTCTATACTAACAATGGCTTATGTCTGAGAAAAAAACCTATAGGAATAAGAGTTTTTGAAGCCCTTAGGAACAGTCACAGAAAAAGGATAAGACTTAATTGAATGACGAGTAATACGAGAATGAATTTTAGTGGATGGCACAAGAGATGCTAGCTTTTTAGAGCAGTGCCCATTATAGTATTTGAAGAAAAGAGAAAGAGAAGTAACATTATGACGATGTGATAAAGGTTGGAGGTTGGCTGCAAGAGCAGGTTCAACTATGTTTACAAAGCGTTTTTGCACTTTATCTAAAAGAGAAAGGGCATCATTAGAAGACCCCCCCCCCCTCCAGATATGGTAACAGTATTCCATATAAAGCCAGATTTGAGATTTAGAGAGAATAAAATCTGGAGTAAGAAAGTGTCGAGCTCGATAAAGAGATGCAACCTTAGCAGATACTAATTTTGCAATGGATTTGATATATGGTTTCCAAGAAAGATTGGAAGAGTTAATCCTAGAAGATTAAGGGTAGATGACTCATTGAGTACATTACTTTTCATAAATATAGGAAGATCTAAATTATTGTAATAAAGCATTTTTTTTAAATCAATGCAATTGTTTTTGATTTTTAATTAACAAACAAAAAAACATTTTACTCTTATTATATTTGGATGGTGAAGTTCTTGCAACAATTTGATTTCACGCAGTGCTGTTCGGTTGATGCCTGAAAATATGTTTGAAATATTAAATGCATACTCTAAACAAACTCAACATATCTATATAATATTTAAATACCATCTTTGGCTTCAGAACGATCACCAAGTTTTATCTATTAAAATAAAATTCACAATTTGTGAGTGATAAATAAATTCTATCAACTATTTAAATATCAATCCTATTAACTATTATTACTATTTTTTTTCTAATTAAAATTTTTTATTTTTTTTAAGCTTTATAATATATGACCTAATTTATGCTATGTTTATAAAATGTTTTCATTAATATTTGTCAGGGTTAGGGTTATACTATTAATAATGTCGAAGATCTTGAATCAAGTATCTAAAATTTTTGTAGCCAAGATAAACAAAAAATTTTTATAAATAAAAAATAAACATTTGATAATAGTTATATCTTTATGTTAATAAAGAAAACATAGCAATAAAATAATTTTTAAATTTTTGATTTTAAAGTTATGGAGCAACATGACTCCAAGTTTTCATATTTATGCAAAAAGATAAATGAAAAAACTAGCATAAAATATATCTTATTAAGAAGCAACTAGTTTGTATTTTTGTTAATGATTAAAGTTCTTGTTTTATTATTATTTTAATAAAAGTATTCAATATATTGTTTTATTAATAAAATAATACAAGGCTCGAATTAAGTGATCATGTATTGTGATATCTGGAAATATTTCTGGTAATCAAGTTCTCAGTTTATTAAAAACAGTGAACACTGTTTTAATGAAATGGTTAATTCATCATAATGCAAGAATTAATGAAAAAACGATAATAAAATTACTACTGCAAAAATAATAACAGTCAAAACTTAGATATTTTAAATTATTGTTTGTTTAAACAGCAGGCAATTTAAGGATTATAAACAAAAAAAAAAGTTATAGACAAAAAAAAAAAAAAATACTCAAGGTTTGAAAACTTTGTGCCGTAATTTAAAAAGCAACCAATGAAAAATTATACTAAAGCTATTTGTGCATTGTATGAAACATTAAAATAAATTTTTGTTTAGAGGGAAACTTTGAGGAATAATTTATTTAAAAATTTAAATGTTTTAAGTTAGAAATAAATTCATTAATAATAAAAATAATAATAATAAAGATATATTTTAAATTAATTAATTAAGAGTTTTGTTATGTTTTAAAATAACTATAAAAAATATAAATTAGTTTTTATAAATTTTTAAACTCCTATCTCTGTCTCCTTGTAGATTTTCTGAATTTTGTACGCATATCTGCGAAAGAGTTATGAATATTTACATAGCTGTTATTAATAATAAAAATAATAATAATAAAAAAGTAGTAATAGTACAATTTTATAATGAGATTTTATATCATTCAAGATAAATATAAATATTTTTTTATTGAGTAATAGCTATTGAGTTTAGTGATAAAAAAATAGTTTAAAGTTTTTAAAAAGCAAAAAATTTAAAGACTGGAAACATTTCCAGATATCTTAATTTGAGATCACTTAGTTTGAGCCCTGTAACATGATTATTGCTGTATTTAACTAAGAACATTTTTTTTTTCAACTGAACTTTTTCAATTTGCTTTTTTTTTTTCTATCTTTAAATTTTTTAAATTTATTTTCTTGTAAGTTTTGGCCTTAAATTGCAATAGTAATAATGAATTATTGATTTATAGATAAATTTAAAACTACTAATATATAAATATATAATATAAATTTCTTTACTTAATCTTACATCAAAATAAAAATTTATTTTGATGTAAGATTAATAATTGACATTACAAGAAAATTATTCTTAACTAATTAACATCAGTAGTTTCAAAATGATTTTAATCAGCTCTGCTCATTAAAGTCATTTTAAAAACTGATTGCTTATATAAAATGTGCAACCTTCTTTAACGTTGTTAACTTTAAATATTTAAGTTTTAATTTTTTTTTACTATTATTATTTGAAATTGATGTATAACTAAAAACATTTTCTCTTCCAACTACTTTTTTTTTTAATTTAATCTTTTCATTTATTTATTTTGTAGCCTTTCTGGTCATTCGCGAAGTCATTGCAGTGAATGAATTATTACTAAATACATTTAAAATTATGAATTGTATGTTCACATTATTTTTTCTATTATTGAATTGTAATAGAATCATCAAACATTAGCCCATCAATAGTTCAGTCATGAAGAACTATTTGAAAGATGAAAATTTAAACAAAACAAAAAAAATTAAAACTTTGACTGTTTAAAAAAAAAATTGATCGTCAATTCCATGTGTTAGCTGGTTGAATTTACCGCTGGATTATCTCCAAGATTTGTCAGAGAAAGAGAGACAACCAATTATTTATTTTGTCAGATAGATGAACAATGGTTGATTGCCCTCCTCAAACAGCTCTTAAAGACAGTCAGGGGTGCTGATGCCCAGCACAGATTTCACCTCTGTGTATACAAAACAAAAATAACAACAATAATAGAATAAATATAAATATATTAAAATAAAAATACATTTGTTCAAAATTTGGACTAGAAACAGTAGCAAGTAAATAATAAAATAAAAAAAATATAAATAAATATAAAAAATTAATGTCGGCATTTAATGTCATTTATGACACAATTTTTACTTTTGATAAAGATTTTATACTTTTGGTAATAAAAGGAATATATTAAAAAAATAAATAACAAGTCTATCCTGTGACTAAGCAAAAATAAAGTTAAGATAGTTGAAATTGAATAAATATAAAAATTTTAAACCTTAAGACTTATGACTGAACAATTTTGCAAATATTTCTTTAATAAAAGCTTAAATAGTTTAAATCATAAAAATGATTTAAACTAAATCTGATTGAAAACAAGAACTTTTAAAAAAAAGTTAAACATTTATAAACCAAACTTAAGTACTAAAAGAATTTATTAAACTAATCTGTAAAAAATTTAATCTACCAACAACTCAAACTTTTTGTAACTATTTATCAACTGTTATTTTTAACCTGAAGAAAAAAAACCGGCATTACTAAGGAGTTGGTATGGAAACCAAAAAATAGAATTTATAGTCTAAGAACAGTTAATAAATTCCATTTATCATGTTTTAGATGTAATTATAAAAAATCAACTTATATAATCAAAATCTAGGAAATTAGCAGGCCTTAATAACATTCCTCCTTTGCTATTGAAAGATTCAACAGAGTATATTAGTATCTAACTTACATAATATATACCCTTAAAAAATGCTACCACGCTTGATCTTTGAAAGGAAATAAAAGTTATTCATGTATATAATAATAGTTCAGAAAACATTCTGGAAAATTACCACCCTTTTAACTAATTTTCTTTACTAAAGCATTTAATACTATTTCTTATTAAATTTTATTTGGAATTAATCACATTAAACTAAATTGATGTGAATAATAAGTCATAAAAAATGGCTAGTAGAAAACTGCACTAGCTCTAACAAATACTTAAACATATACAAATACTTAAAGTATATAAAATACATAAAAGTATCAAATAACTAAAGGTATCAGCGCTTTTAAAAAGTTTTCCAAATGATAATACAAATTACCTTTTTAACAGCTACAATGCAATTTTCATTTTCAATATCTTCAGCCTTGTATACAGTAGCAAACTAAATGTATAAGAAATAAAAAAATAAAATTATTATTCTAAAATTTTTATTTTCATAATATTTATATGATTAATTTTCATGAAAAACAAATTTGAAAGCCCTAAATTAGCTTGACTCACAGCTCCTTCGCCTAAAAAAGAAACTTTTTTGTAACGTTTTGAGCGATCCTTTGATTCCAACATATTTTACTTGGTTTTATAAAATTTAACAAGTATGGAACATGCGATATATATAATAATGTTGCTAATAACTAGAATAGAATTTTAGAATTAATTTAAAAACATTTTCATACTATTTGTACAATACAATAACGTTTTTAAAATTTCAAAAAAAAAAAAAAAACTTGTTTGAACATTTCGTGATGCACACAATCTCATGGCAATTCCATTGACAATAAATGGTAGATTTGAATTATCTTAACTAATTTGCCTCGCAACCAACTTAAACATTAATTTTTTGCCTCACAAACATCACTAAATTCACTTTTAAAATCTCTACACATCGAACCAAACAAAATAACAAAAAAATCTCTCCTTCTTTAAAAGTATCAACTCTATACTGTAAATACTTTAATGAAGTATTTCTATTACTATTGCATTTCATTCTATGACAGTTGTTACATCTTTTCATGGTATCTTTTACTTTGAATGCAAAAAAAAAAAAGATAATAACCAGCTAGATCTTAGTATAAAAAATTACACTTAAAAAAATTCTATTTAGAAAAAATATTTTAAATAGTGTCAACTATATTTTTCAAAATATTTTTGTTAGCTTCATGCGTAAACCCCGCTTTTTCACTTTCGCATTTGTTTTGCATTAAACTGGGTTTCCAATAAACGAATCTACAGTAACTGCTGTTACACGTTGTTATCAACGTATTAGTTAGTATTAAAATACACAACAACCATTATTGCGTAAATTGCACAACTTAACGTGGGTTGTAAAGGCGCTTCCGATAAGGTAGATAGGGTACATAAAGAATAGAGTCTATATTAGGATTGTGAGGGCCACCAAGATTAATATAGGGTTGCAAAAATTGCTGGAAAATCGTTAAATGGATGAGCTTTATCTACGAGCCATCGAGTGTGTCGTGACACCTCTGGTGGGTTGCATAATTGTTTTACAGCATTTATGTTGTTAAACAATTGTAGCGGAAATCAATTTTCGCCACAACTGTTCTACACCAAAATTCACAACTGCTGTACAACTGTAACTTTTCTACAGCTATTGGAAACTAAACTTGTATAAAGTTTATACAAGTTTAGTTTCCAACAGCTGTAGAAAAGTTGCATTTATACTATAAACGTTTGTATAAGTTAAGTTGTATTTACGTGTTTTTGAATCAACAATTTAAAAAAAATAAACATAGTAAAATATGTATCAAGGAAGGGGAGGAAGGTTAGAAGGGAATATAGCCCCGGGCCCCGCAAATTTAGGGGCCCCCAAAAATTTTAGAGGAACTTTTTTTTTTTTTTTTTCAAGTCATATTTAGGCTCTGGCCCATAAAAAGGCCTCCAAAAACAAAAAATGCCCCGGGCCCCAAGAAGTCTTAATCCACCACTGGCTACAGCGTTGAAGTTTTTGTTTAAGGTAACTTTTTAAACTGGAGCAAACTTAAAGTTTGTGTATGCTTATGCTGTTCCTGTTTGCTCCTGGTCAAAAATTGATAAGTTAATTGCTCTAACAAAACAATGGCGGGGAAAAAAATATTATATATTTTTTTCCCCGCCATTGTTTTGTTAGAGCAATTAACTACGATGAACGTATTATTTTTAACTTATTTTTTTGATCTTTTGCCTTAAACAATAAATTACAAAAGCAGTAATTAATCTGTTATACCTGTAAATACAAATTAAGTGAGGTTTATTTAAAGTTAACATGTAAGGATTAAGGTATAGAGTTTATAAAAATCTCTATTTAATGATAATATAATTTAATATTGTTATCTGAAATATTTAATGCAAACTTATAATACGTTATCTATTTAGTTGATCAAATAAAGTTTTTATGTAATCTTGAGTTAAAAATAAATATATATGGTTTATTACAAAACAAAATTATTTGTAAGTATATTTATTATTAATATGAAATTTTTTGTTTCATTATCATTGGAAGATTGATCAAAACATGTTACATTAATATCACATTAAAGTTTAGCAACTTTACAATTTCTTAAAGATGGTGGGATCAAAACTTTTGATACTTTAGCATATATAGAGTGGTTAGCGCCCTTGTCTCAGAAACTAGAGATCCGTGGTTCAACCCCATCTCTGGGCAAGTTTTATATATTTGGTGAGGAAGAAGGTGTGAACGTTCTTTCAATGCTCTTCCACGATGTTCTGTCTCTCTCTCTTATATATATATATATATATATATATATATATATATATATATATATATATATATATATATATATATATATATGTATATATATATATATATATATATATATATATATATATATATATATATATATATATATATATATATATATATATATATATATATATGTATATATATATGTATATATATATATATATATATATATATATATATATATATATATATATATATATATATATATATAACTTTATATCACAACCAAATTTAAATATATTTTGCTACTTTGGCACAAAATAAAACATACCTGTTGGAAAATATTTATGCAAATATATTATTTTAAACATATACAACTTTAATGTAAGTTGAAAAATTTTTTTTCAAGCTTTAGATTAAAGATGTCTAATAAATATATACTCTAAAATTTTTTTAGAGACTTCTACCTTAAAGTAGGATATGTGATATACCCTTTGTAAGCTATAAATAATAAAAAATTTTAAATTTATAATATAAAATATAAACTTTAACTTCTAGGATAAAATAAAATAAATCAGTAAGGTAGAAAATTATACTTTTAAGGTAAATATTGTTCAACAAATCATTATTTTTAATTACCTTCTAAGGTAGAAAATTATACCTGAGGGTATATTACATATGCTACCCTAAGGCATGGCTGACGACACGGGTTTTAGAGTGGAGGGGTACAATTGCCATTTTTTTAAAAAAAAGTCCCTTACTTAGTCCCTTACTAGAAATTTCGAAGAAAAAAGGCCTTTAGAATAAAAATGGGTAGACCAGTGCCCCATGGCCTCCCTCGGTGTTGTCGGCTTTGTAAGGTTGAAATTTCTACCTTTTTTTTAAGTGTTGGCTTTTAAAATGCAAGTAGAAGTATTATTCAGGATAATACAGAAGAAAACACCCATCAGTTAAATAAAAGCAAGAACCAGTCGGTACCAGGATTAAAACTTCTATTGCCAAGAATAGAATTATTTGTATTTAAAGATACTACCAAGCAATGCCCAGTGCTTAAAGGTAAACATCTCATGAATGAGGAGTTGAATGTCATTATTGGGGTTATCTCAAACGCGTTGCCTGTTTTCAAGCATAGAGAAGGAATTCGACAAAACCAATACTATACACAACCAGGATTTTTAGGTCAATAAGAAATTATACAGTTTTTAAACATGTAGAACTTGAGGCAACTTTAAAGATAACTTCTAAAGATACGACAAAAGGTTGGATTTGCAGAGTAAAAGCCTGTGGACTAAAATGGTCGAGGTAAGATCCCAGTAAACACACAAACGTCTATTAAACGCGAAAAAAACGTTTAGACAATTCCGTTTAGAATGAAATCCAGATTAACGTTTAGAACAAACGTCCATTAAACGTCTATATTCAAATGTAAAAAAATAATAATAAAAAATAATAATAATAAAAAATAATAATAATAAAAAATAATAATAATAAAAAATAATAATAATAAAAAATAATAAAAATAAAATTCAAATAATAAAAAAAATAAAAAATGAAAAATTTTAATAACAGTAGAAATAGTAGTTACAAAGCTAATTACAAAAAAATTATGTCTAAGGATACTTAATTAACTTTTTATGTAGACATAGATATACGCCATTAGCGCTGTTAAGGGAATCTGCGAAATGATTATTTTTGGAGTTTTATACCCAAAAATGCTGAATCTTCTTTGATTTCCTTTTTTTAGGTATTAAAGTGTAGAAAAAATAAATATATATAATAGTTATTATACCAGAATTTAAATTAAAGTTTGCATCAATACTATGTTAATGTATCAATATTATATTAATTTATTTTTATCAATCTGATACATAATAATTTTGTGTATATATTTTCTTTTTTTCAAGATATTAAATGTATATTTTATATGGTATACCTCGAGAAGAAAAATTGAATAAATAATAAATAAATAATAAAATGTTTTTAGATGTCTACTATAGGATTATTATACGTATATAAAGCATTTAGATATTGTCTAATTTACGTTTAAATCAAGTCTAATCATAGTGTATATAAAGTGTTTAGATTTAGTCTAAGTAAACGTATATAAAATTTATTAGATCTTGTCTAATTGTTTCTTTGATTTAGTTAACGAAATTTCAATTTATTTAAGTTTTAAAACTAATATTAATTAAAATTAGGTTATAACATTTTAATTTTATATAAGTAATAAGAGCTATATAGGTCTTTAAATTTATAAATAATATATAGTTATAAAAGACCTGGTCTTATTTTTGATATTTTTTACAACTATTTGAATATTTTTATAAACTTTTATACTACTTTTATATTATAAAACTGTATATAAAGTTATAGACTTATATAAAACGTTTTCATAAAGTTATAGACTTATATAAAACGTTTTCATAAAGTTATAGACTTATATAAAACGTTTTCATATAGTTATAGACTTATATAAAACGTTTTCATAAAGTTATAGACTTATATAAAACGTTTTCATAAAGTTATAGACTTATATAAAACGTTTTCATGTAGTGGGGATTTAGAGAAAAAATGTTCGTCCACTATACTTCATATAATTCAATAATGAAAAATAATTAAATGATCGAGCTTTTTGCAGTGGAAAATGATCGAGCTTTTTGCAGTGGAAAATGATCGAGCTTTTTGCAGTGGAAGCTTAATAATAACAATTTCTATCAAATATTTTTTAAATTTAATCTCATTAGCAGGAAATAAAAGTTTACATTAAGATTAAAATTACGAATAAAATTAATAAACTCATGAACATATATTTTGGATCACTGTTTTCTCTAGTTTATGCATTATCAAAAATCTTCCTAGTATACCGTCTACGGCTTGTTTATCAGGCACCTGTTCTTGTACAACATCATCTTCTACATTTGGATCTGATCGTCTGATTCCGTAACCTGATTTGTAACCACAAACAACTAGGATAAAATACCCGGTGGGAAATTAGCCAGCGACTAGCCAGCAAATAGCTAGCTAGTCACTTCCTATGGATAAAAAACGCATTTAAGACGTTTAAAATACGTAGTAATACGTGTTTTAGACATTTTAAACACGTCTTTTGTCATCTAGTTACCTTTTCTCCATCGGGTAGTTAGCATTTTAAATGTACATTCATAAATCAAAATTGGAATTACACTGAACAACTTTACATATAGATGATATTCTGAATGGAAGTTTTTCAAAATTTCCTGTACTATCCATGTTTATTTTTGACATTAAAAAACTAGTATAGTCGCGACATAGTATATGCAGTGCAGAGCTATCTTATCCATTAGGCACTATAGGCATTGTGCCTAGAGCCTACGAATCTACAGGGGCCTATAAAAGTAATGAAAAAAAAAGAAATTTTAAAGCGTTTTTCATTTCATTAATAAAACAATCATACAGATGCAGCATAATATTCATAATTGATAAAAATGTTTATAATCAAACAGTATAATTAGATGGCATTAACTTTTCGACTTTTGGTATTTTCAAAATCAACTATAACATCTTAAAATGTCATCTCCCGCATTACTTCATTTTCAATTGATAGCAGTGCCAGGGAGGATAGTTGGGCTTGTCCCATAGTTAAACGCAGATAATTTTTAATCAGTTTTAATTTTGAAAAAGAACGTTCACCTTCTGAATTCGTGCCTAATATAAAGAGATAAATCCTGAAAGTGATATTAACATTGGGAAAACTTGCAACTAGTTTATTGTCTATTTGCAGCTTAAACACCGATTTACCATCACTAAACATTTGAGAAAACAGCAAAAACTCATCGGTAAATTCGTCTTCGAGATCTGATGGATACAACTGAATTAGTGCCTTGGTTTTAGCCACAACTTCCTCACTCGACAAAGATCTGTTGTCAAGAAGAAAGTTAAACCTTTCGTATAATACTTTATAAGCTGCTCTGCGTTTTTCCATGTCATTATTAAGTCTGTCTATGATAACGTAATACTGTTGAATACGGAAATTATCACTGGCACTAACATTTAATCTGGGATTACTTGTATCCATAACTTCGTCATCAAATCGCTTCCGTACTCGCTTGCGTTGTGTAGCTTCTTTGTAATCAGATTCTGTGAGATCTTTTGCCTGGCATTCGAATGTTTCAAACTTACTGCGTGTATTATGAAAATTGGTTCTAGCTCTGGTATTACTATTCCTGGACTTGTTGAAGAAACGAAAGAGTTTATTAAAGTGTCATTCCCAGAAGTAGCATCTACTTTATTAACATATTTTAGCAAAGAACTTTTAATTTTTTTTAATGCATCCTCTTTCCTTTGCTTTTTCTACCGTTTAATATAGCCAGACTCGTGCTTTCTCTTGTACCCATCGCCATCGGACATGACTTGAATTTCTGAAAATCATAATAAATATTCAATATAAAACAGACATATAACATAAAAATAAAATAAAATATGTTAATCCATTTGAAGAAGGGGGAAAACATTTAAATATATTCCATAAAACATTACATTTAACAAAACTTATTAATAATTTACAAAAACGTAATCATAACAAACAAAATACCTACCAAATAAAATCGTACTTTTTAAAATAATACGTGGAATTATGAGAATTTCATTTTTAAATAAATGTAAACTATTGATAAATTTAAACAAACGTTTAAAACAAATAACAAACCATAGATTGCTGAACTTTTAATGGCTTTTTATGATCATAACAAAAGTAATAATAGTGAAGAAAATACAATTAATGAAATGGTTATAATTTAATTTCTTTAAGGCATAACATGTGTAAAGATACAGAATAATCAAACAAACAGCGACTGTAGCCCCATTAACGACTACGTACAAAAATTAAAAAATAATGTAAATTGAATAACGTGTACATGACATTTAAATTGAAAGAAAGGCCTACAGCTACATTTTTATGCAAAGTGCCTAGAGCCTACGACGCTCTAAAAACTGATGCAGTGGTTTTTATCAGCCCTGTTCCACTAATTTTCTTTAGCAAATGTAACTAAATTAAGCTAAGCAACTCATATTCTTTAACTGTGTCAATGTTGCCATCAATATTTTCTAAAATATTGGAGTCCATTGATTTTTTGGCATTTAGGAAGGTAGATTGTCGCGATAAGAGTTTTTTAACTTCAATGAATTAAAATGGCGCACCCGACACTTGTTTGTTATTTATTCATTAGTCGTTTTACTTTCAGTTGTTGTAAGGAAGTGAATCTTGAAAACGCATTTAAGTTTGATTTAAATATTTAGTCAAGAAAAAATAAGTTTTTAATAAGTTTTTTATTTTGTTTTAATTATACCTATCTAGGCCGCGTGACTTAAGCTGTTATGTGACGAATGGCTATGTTACTATATTATAATATAATAAACGTTTATTAAGCGCAGGGGCGGATCCATGGGGGGGGTGGGGGGTGTAGCGATTGCCCCCTTCCCCCTTAGCCCCTTAGAATGTTTTAAAATTTTTTATTTTTATAAGTTTATATATTAAACACAGCAAGTTGTTTGAAAACGGAAATAATATTGTTAGGTTGTCTAAATAAAATTACAATTTTAATAAAATTCAAAATTGTGTGATTACTTGCTTACAAATCATTATATCTGAAAATCGCCCTACCCCCTACCGCCCTACCTTACTAGATTGTCTGCATCCCCCAAATCGAAAAAAAATTTAAAATTGCTCCCCCCTCCCCTTACGACATGGTCTGGATCCGCTCTTGATTAAACGTCAATCCAACGTTTAGAATAATGACTTAAATTAGTCAATATTGTAAACGTTTGATCGACGTTTAATAAACGTATATATTAAAAGATTTAAAGCGTAAATTTTAAATCTTTAAATGTTTACGTTTAACTAAGGTCGATTAAAGGTTTAAAACATTGACTAATGTAAGTTGATATTCTAAACGTTAGATATTAGAAACGTTAGATATTCTAAACGTTAGATAGTAAACGTATATAGAAAAAAGGTTGAAATATACATTTAAAGTCAAGCGTCGATTTTTAGTCAATAATCGTTAAACATTTTATCTATTTTTCGACGGATTTCAACTAAATATTGACCAATCCTGAACCAATCTGTGTTTACTGGGATTGACGAGGATCAGAAATGGTGCTAAAAAATTTGAATGGTAAACTATCTATTTAACATATTTTATAAAATTTTCATGCAACATGAATATGTATAATACTAACGCATTTTGCCCTGTAATCTTTCATTATTTAGCTGATCAAAAAAGTTGAAATGAACATATAAGTATAAATCTCACAAATATGAAGAATAGGCCCTACATAGGCTCGTGGACTTTATTGTCCATGAAATAATATCCAGTGGATATGGTGATAGCAATTTGAAAATAGAACTATAGCATGTTTACAAAGAAGTTACAGACACCATAATCAGTTTAATGAACAGACGTTTCCATCAAAATGACATAAAAGTGGTTTAGGATATCGATAATATGGTAGTATCAAGCGCTTTTTTCAAAAGCTTTTTATTATTTTCATTTTCCATAGTCTAACGAACAGCTCTGAATTTTTAATTATTTTTATTATTAACTTTTATTTGGCTGATTAAACAATATTAAATTTTTTCATATAATCATGTAAAAAATAAACAACATTGTAAACATAAAAACCTTGATAAAAAACGTAACCTATTTAATTTTTTTTTATAATATATGTATATATACTGTTATAATCAGTTAGGGACTCAAAGACGGTAAAGATGATGCGTTTATAAACACAACCTTAAAATAACATAATTACACAACCAGTTTCAATTCTAATCAATAAAAAGGTAAACGGAAGAGTTAAGCTGTTTAAAAACTCAACAGAAAAGTTATTTCTATTATTATGGTCTCAATTTAATTAGTGTTTGAATAAGTATGCCGGCAAAAAATTCTGATGTTAATTGCCGGCAACGTAAACAAAACTATTTGAGTGGTAATATCTATTGGTTATGCATAATTAATTGATGCATGTACGTTCCACTAATCCTACAACTATATCAGTTGATATACATACAGTTGATATGTACACTTTAATGCATCTGTTAAATAAAATTTTAAAAAGTTATGGTGATTAATAAACAATAATATTGTAATTAGCAGACAAAAATAGTTGCTATAACAAATGAAAATATATGTTCTTCAAAATAAAACAATTAATTTCCGTTTGGGAATGTTGAAATATAAATTTTAATTACTACACCATTTTATGTTAGCATCGTGGGTGTTAAATACATATGATTAGCGGTATATATACCGGTTTTTATTTTCTTAGTTTTTCTTCAGCAATTAGGGGTAGTCCATAAATTTTTTTTTAGTTTTTTTTATGTTGCTGTACACTTTTGTGCACCAACTAAATAAAGTTCTGCACTTGTACCATATAATATTAAAGCGCAGAACGTGCACTGCACATAGACTATTACAACTGTCCGTAACAGTCCGTTAACAGAATATAACTACTCAGTTAATGGAGTGTACACATTGACTAAGTAAGATATAGGCGCTGTTAATTTTAAAATCAACATCTAGATACATCAACTATTGTGATTTAATCAGGTACTCTTTTAATTAAAAGAAAGACTTCTCTAGATTTAAAACTTAAAAAAAAATGTCGCGTCACAAAATTAAAGACCCCAAATTTGTGACGCAACATTTTTGTGACGATTTGTTACAATTCTCGTAACAAATCGTCACAAAATTGCCACCCCTCTCCCCCCTAAAGCGTGACGACCTAGTTTTTCTGCCGGCAATTTCAAAGTTATATGCCGGCAAAAACCGTTTACCTTTTCGGAAATAGACCCCGTAAAAAAAAAAAAAAAAAAATACCCGTAAAAAACCCGTACTAAAGTCATTTTTTATAACGGGTTTTTTTATGCGGATTATAGCTTGGTATTCATGGCAATAGAAAATTACTTCTATTTTAAAACATAAACAAATCTTAAAAAAATTATTGTGTTAACAGTTTCCTATCTATATCAAAAGTATATAGTATCCATATTACTATAATATTTTATATTGTATCAAAATATAATTTTTATCAAAAATTGTTCATTATTTGAGTCAATGCAATATTAAATATAAAATTCAGAGTATCGGTAAAGTTTACTACTTATTCAAAGCTTTTTGTGAACTTAATATTATTATGTTCTTACAAAGCTTTCAATCGAAATATTAATTCAAAGCTTTAGTTTTTGGATTTTAGTTAAATAAATAAAATTTTATTTAAAATTTAATTGAAAAAAAGTACAATATTATTTGAATATTTTAAATTAAATTTAATATATATAATATTTATATTAAATTTAATTTCAAATATTCAAACAATATTATACTTTTTTTCAATTAAATTTTAAATAAAATTTTAATATATTTAATAAAATATTTTAATATATTTAAATAAAATTTTATATATATATATATATATATATATATATATATATATATATATATATATATATATATATATATATATATATATATATATACACATAGTAGTATGAATACAAATCTAAAGTAAATGCCAATTAAATAAAAATAGCAATCGTATAAATGATATTATAATACGATAATAATAATATATAATAATATTATTAATAAAATAAAATTAACTAGAATAATTATAATAAAAGCACTAATAATATTTGATATAATAATAAAAATTATGACAATTATAGTAAGATATCCAGTTTTCTTTACAATTTTACTTGATGTATATTAAATATGTTTTATAAAATTAAGTCGGTAATGGATCTGAATGATTAAATATTTAATCATTTATTTAGATCCATTCCCAAATCAGTTCCCAAATCATTCTTAATAATGTTCATAGCCTTGGTAATTTATTTGAAGAAGGTCTTAAAACAATAAAGATATAAGAAACTATTTAAAGCTTTGTAAATCTAATAAATTACTTTTTCAGCTGTCATCTAAAAATTTTTATTATTTGAAATTTTATTAAAAACACTAATCTGTCAAAAATGCCAAATTATGGGAACTAGAACCTAGTCCACTAAGTCATGCAAATATTAAAAAATTTTATTCTCTTATAACCAGTAAAAAAACATCTTTCTAACAAGATTCTTGGATTTTGCAATCATTAGTTATGATTCTATTTCCATAACTTAGGGTACCATATACAGTTATAATAAAAGCAAAGCTTTTATTATACAGTTTTTTTCTTAAATTATTATTTAAATTATAAATATGGTACTAAAATCATTTCCTTTTAACTGTTTCTGATTCAAAAAACCCCAAAAGAGTTCTCTGTTTTTGATTTCCTAGTAATGCTTGTCAATTATACTAAATGAATTTCTTGAATGCAAAACTCATTTAAATGTTTTTGAAAAATCCAAAATAGCAATGTCAACACTTTTCCTCTATTTTTTCTGTGATCGTATCTAATGTTTTAATAAGGTTTGTCACAGTCTTATATATCACAAATTAATTCACTAAATTCTTCATCTTTTATCTTGATTACTTGATAGATTTTGTAAACAGGATACATAATTGGTCATAGGTCTTTAATTAACATTGGTGAAACTAATTTTGGAATTATTTTTGATTTTGCTTATTATTAAGTTAATTTAATTATTTTAAATAAAATGTTTTCAAATAATAAATACAACATTTATATGATCTAGCATTAAGTTACTTAATATTATCAATTCCTAAGGGTGTAAGACTTTTTTTAATGTTTAAATGGCTATTTTTTTATCTTTTTTATTTCTTATAGTTTACTTATATAATTAAAAAAAAAACAGTTATATACCAACTGATGCTCAGGAAGTATTGAATGAGTTTATGGAAGGTCAGTTTTGTTTATTTCTTGCAAATTTCTTATGTATACAATAACAAGATATTTTTTTCAAAAGATTTAAAGAAAAAAAACCTCGTAATATTTTTTAAATATTTATATATAAAACAACAACATTTGCATGCATCTATGTTTGTTTGAGGATAAGACTGAAAGTTAGTTATTTTAGTTGCATGTTTTGCTTTAGTTTTTATATAATATATTATTTTTTATATATAAAATAGACTGCATTATATGTATTATATTATAGCCTAATAATAGACTGCATTATATGCATTATACTGTAAGTTTTCAAATAAATGTGTAAATCAAAATTTTGTCAGGTCAGGTGTTTGGTCATCATGATCATCAATACTACTTAATGTCTGTCATGCCTAAAAATATTTTTTTGTGTGCGTGTGTCTTTTTTATAGTTAGACTTGCCTTTGCAACTCCTTTTAACTATTCCAGGTCAGGTCAGGTTCAGGATCATCGTGATCACCTTACTACTCAACTTGCTGCTAGTATCATTCAACCCAGTACTACGTGCCCCATGCCCTGCTGCCTTGTAAGGTTTGCTTAGACAAAGGCTTGGAAAAACAAACTATAGTTTAAAAATCCCCTATCTTGGGGCTCTTGGTTGTGTAAGGGCTAGAGATGGTGTCTCGATAAAAATACTCATCTTAGGCAGATGTTAACCACAGCTACTGTCTTGTAGAAGGGCTTCTAGGCAATGACCTTAGAGGTAAGCAGAATAACTTTTTTGATTAGCCTAGAACCCTTTCTTCATCTATTAAGCTGGCATTGATATAAACTTGTGTTACATAGTTTCCTGCCTAGGATGATGAATGGATCTTCTTGACACTATTTATAGATTTTTACTTGTGCCTCCATGATAGTGGCTATTAGTGTGGTCACGGCACTTGGTATTTTGGTACCAACACCCAAGTATATTGGTACTAAGGTTAGTACCAAGCAATTTTAATAGTATAATAGTGCTATTTATAAAGCCTGTTCTTCATTCAGATATTTTTCAGAGTTATCGTCTATAAGTAAAGTGTAGTAGGTTAAAATTAGGATGTAATAGTCTATAAAATAAGAATAACTTGCAGTTTAGTTAAAGTACCCTTCCGTGAGGAAGTTGTAAAAAATCTAAATGGACTAAAACCAAAATTAAAAATGAAAAAGAGCTTATAAAAAGCTAAATGAATTTTTGGTTATCCTAACTATTCATTATTTAATAAGTATTCTTTATTTTATAGTCACACATTTATTTAAATTTTTAAGTTTTCATTTGATTAATCTTGTGGCTAGGATTAGGATTAGGCCAGTTTAAAACAAGTTCATAAAATCAAAATAGTAAGTGTTATAAAAACAAATTGAAAAATTGAAAATGAAAACAATCAAAATTTAAAGTTATTTAAAAATTGTGAATTATTGAATTTGATTCCTTAAGTTCTAATATTAAGTTTGCTGCATTTAACATTATTCTTAACATATGACAAATTTATATTTTTAACAAATCTTTTAATGAAAAACACTTATAAAAAAGAAAGAGTGTCAAAGCAAGATATGGAAGTATTTTTTGTTTACTGCCAATGACGAGGGTAATATAGTAGACAAAAATAAGCCAACTTGCTAATGATGTAGGAGAGTCTTTATTACAATAAGTAGAAACTCTTCCAATCTCATAAAGCATTTAAAAGACAACTTGATTTAATGAAAAAGTTCAAGGTGTGCATATTTTACGGTTACTTGTTTTAAAAAAATTTTTGTTAACTTTTTTAAATTTGATCATTTTTTTGTGCTTCTGCTTAGCACTTTGTTACTTTTTTCTCCTCCTTAAGACTGCACTCTTTTATATGTAATTTGTAATCAAATTGACCATGTCCTTTCTCTTTACACCTCTGGCAATATTGTTGTTATTAATGACTTTAATGTTCATAACACTGAATGGCTTGACTCTAACACCACTGACCCTGTTGGCACTATAACTTAAAAGTATATCAAAACCTATAACTTCTGCATTTCTTGATCTCTTACTCAGATAGTTAACTTTGTGACTCGTTTTCCAGACATCCCTAATCATTTATTTTCACTCCTTGATTTGTGTCTTGTCTCTGACCCTAGCTTGTGTTCAGTTACTCCTTTTTCTCCCTTAGGTGGTTCTGACCATGCAATGATCCCTATAAATCTTTCTTCTTTTACTTCTTTGAACTCACCCTATCATTGCACTACTTGTTACAGTACAATCTCTTTTATTCGAATTTTATAGGGAAAAATAAAAGTTCAAATTAGGAATTAGAGAGATTTTCAAATTATAGAAAGTTGCCTTTTTTCAAATATTCTCGCCAAAGTAACAAATAGAAATAAAACAAACAAATGAATAGTAATTCTTAGGCCTAAATGCAATATATATTATGTGTTTTTAACTTATACATTTTCAAAAAAAAGTCAGTAATAGTAGATTATTTTTTATGAGTTTGTTAATCCATGTCTATGACACGATTTATATCTTTAAGAGCCTTTGTCGAATTTTCTCCAAAGTCAGAATAAAGACTGTAATTTTCAATTGCATTGATAGCATGCGTTACTTTGTTCAAACTTGGTTTTGTAGCATCGTCAGAAACATCAACGCATTCATCATCGGATTCCTCTTCAGTTTCAATAGCATCATGTCCAGAAACTTTTGTAATGATCCGCTCATCTGTTGATTTATTGGCAATGCAAATATTGAAATCTATGTCTTCTAACTCATCGGCTGTAAGGTTAAAATCTGCATCAAATTTTGATTTTAACAATTCAGGATCATCTTTTAAATTTTCCATTTCAGCCTCCTTTGCATCTAAGCCACAGAATGGACTGTTATTAACATTTATATGCTTTTCTACTGCTTCTAATAATATTCCTGATTTCTTGAAACAATTTATAATGGTCTGGTCTAGAATAGATTTCCATGCTTTTGTTAGCATAACCATAGCAGTTAAAATAGAAAATTAAAGTGTCTTGTTCTCTTTTTCCAAGGCAGTAGTAAGTGAATGGGGCTCCGGCTAAAAATTAGACTTTTTTCAGCCCCGGCCCTGGCTAAACTATAAGATTTAGCAGGGGTTGATAGGTGGGGCTAGAAAAAAATTTATAATACTTTATAAATTATAATTTTATGCTTACATTTACTATTTATTACTGGCATATATTTATTTGCTGATTCTTATAATTATTATTATTGTTACATTCTTCTTATTATTACATTCTTCTGTTGAGAAGAAAGCTTATGCTATTGTCGAATCACTTCAAAAATTGAAACACTACCTTGTTGGTCTGCTTTTTACTTTAATCACCGACCAGGGCCTTGTCTATTTCATGTTTGATAATAACAAGAGTGGAAAAATTAAAAATGACAAGATTCTGAGATGGAGATTAGAACTTTCTTTGTACAGCTATGGTATAGCTAATCGCACTGGGCGTAACAATTTTGTTGCTGATGTCCTCTCTCAATCTTGTTGCTCACCCTGGAATCACCAGAATTTATCATTTTATAAAATCGAAAAATCTGCCCTTTTCAATTGACGATGTAAAAAAAACCATTTCTTCATGTCAAATTTGTGTTGAATTAAAACCTAAATAAATATTTTTTAACAGTTGTTGATGAGTTTTCAAGATTTCTCTTTGTATTTCCTTGTCATGATTTCTCTACTTCAACCTTTATTATAGATAAGAAACAATACAGGAACAAAGATTTAAGGGTACCAAAAGATACCCTTAAAATTACTTGAAATAAAGAAGAGTGTAGACCTTCAAGAATAACTTTATTACTGCAGTTAGTAAGGAATAATTTAGTAATCTCAAAATCTTTATATAAAGAAACTAATAACAGAATGAAGACTAATCATAGAATAGTTAGAGTGTTTTAGAGAGTTTTAAAAAATTGGAACCACTTATTTAGTACTTTTTAAAAATTACTTATTAAATATTATATAATTAATAAGATTAAATGTTAGACTTTAGTTATTGACATTGTTTAAGACTAACCAAAAGTCTCTTGAACCTAAACTGAGAATAATAGGGCTTAACATCAAATGGAACCTTTTTACATTGGCTTCTTGGAATAATAAAAGGATATTTGTTCTTAAGAGAGATGTTTTTGTAAAAAAGATGAAATAAATGATTAATAAAGCAACTGCTCCCAGACAGCAAGCTTACATTGGACCATCGTTGGGCCAATGTACGATGATGCATTGGCCCAACGTTGAAAGTCGATGTTGGCCCAATGCAGGTTTGATCATTGGTTAGGTATTGGCCCAATGTAGTATACAACATTGGCCCAATGTTGTATACAATGTTTACCCAACATTGGCCCAACGTTGTATATAATGTTAGGCCAACATTATATACAGCATTGGCCCAACGTTGTATACAACATTGGCCCAACGTTGTATACACAATTGGCCTAATGTTGTATACAACATTGGCCCAATATCGTATGTTATATATCGGCCTAACGTTTTATGCAACATTAGATCGTTGTTACAGATAAGATGATTTGCACCGCTACATTGAAAATTTATAGAGTAAAAAGAAAATGTATGATACAAGTATAAAAATTTATTTATTTAACATAAGTTCTCGGTTAAATATACATATTGCAAACACCAAACTTAAACCAAAAACTGACACATTGAGTTTTGATTTAAAAAAATCACTATAAAATTTATAGAGTAGTTTTGATATTGGCTGAGCTACTTGTTATTGAATCGTGCTTAGCTTATGATATTTGGTGCCCACGATAATTATTTTTTCTTCCACTATCTCTACCACATATCTGCATAAGCTAAGCTTATTTGACTTCACAGTTTCTGCAAAAAAAAAAAAGTTGTTTGTTTAATTATACACCAAAGAAACAAAACAAATTGAAAGTAATTCTGTAATACAAAATTGAAACTGAAAAAATAAACTTATCTAAACCACTTATCAATAGCAGCATATGCAATCAACATTTTTCCTATTCCAATTTTTTG